AATTCTCTCTTTAATTTTTTGTTAAATTAGTTAATCATCCAAACTCTCCCCTTTTATTTATTTTGCTGCTTCGCAAAATTTTTAACCTGCGGGAATAACCCTTACTCACTGCTAAATACAAATCATATAAATAAAGTTTTAAATTTGATAGATCTATCAAATTTAAAACCCTTTGAAACACATCTTTACATTTACTATTTTTTCTCTAATTTAGTATTTAAACATGGAAATGCCTTATTATGGTAACCTTGAAGTTTGAACCATGTATTAGTGGTGAGTAAAGGTCTTTCATGGTTAAGATCGCTTTAAGTAAATCACAACATCTCTCATATGTTGGTTAAGATGGCTGATCTGGCACAAAATTAAACAATAAAAAATAAATTTTAAGTTAAAAACCATTACTATTAACCAAACTTTCCCCAATACTAAATAAAATTTTTTTAAGAAAGAAAAGAAATTAAAATGCCCAGCCATCAAGACCCACCGGTTTTTCTCCTCCAATGCACACCATCGAGAGAGAACCAGCTTCTCTCTTCTGCTCCTGTGCTAAAAGGATGATTTTGTAAACAAAAGAAACCCGAAGTCCTAAATCTCCTTAAAAACACCAAGGCCAAGAATGCGAAAACAAAGAATCAATGAGGGAAACTTGGGTCTCCATTGGATCAATGCCAACTGTGGATATTTAATTGAAAAAAAAAAAAAAAAAAAAACCCAGAAATAAAGAGCCAACAAAGCGTAAATCAGAAATAAAAATAAAATAAAGATAGAAAAAAAAAAAGAATAAAGATTTAATATGATTCAGTAATTTACTTACATTTACAGATTAAGAATACACTCACTCTTTCATTATAAATTTTACATTGAGTACATGCATCATTATATAGAGTCTAATTGACAACCATATGCTTAATTGACTATTCAATCACCCCTAATTGACCGTCATTGATTGCTAACTCTAAAATCAATAAAATCTCTACTGATGGAAAGGATCACAAAGATAATTGCGAGAATAACAAAAACATAACAAATCTCAACACTCTCTCTTTATGCTATGTTTGGTAGGAAAGAAAGAAAATAGGATAAAAAAAAAATGTGGAAGTGATAGAAAATAATAATGATAGAAAGAAAATTGATTTTCTTTTATGTTGTTTGGTATGAGAAGATGGAAAGAATATGAGTTTACTTTAACTTGTTTGGTATTAGAAGTTAAATTGAGAGGAAAGAAAAAATCTTACTCGTAAATTATTTTTATACCCTTAAATTTTTTGCTTGGATGTTAATGGAGAAAATGGTAGTTTAGTAACTTTACTCACTTTAATGAGTTGTCCTTATTTTTCATCTCATTTTCTGCCCACTTGTAGAAAGAAAAAAATAGTGGGACCTACATGTATTATTTTCTACTATATTTTCTTTTCCTTTCTCTTTTCTCTCCTACCAAACAACCTATATTTTTATTTTCTCTCTCAAAATTCCCCCACCTTTTTCCTTCCTTCTACTTTTCTTCCCTACCAAACATACTGTTAAATTGGTACATACTAACTTAGAAAAATGAAAGTGTTGGCAGCGGATCTTCGATAGCACTTCAACAAGATCAAAGGGATTATGCCGTTCTCTCAATGACGCTCTTAAAAAAAGAATAAGGATCAATTAAATCAAGGATGAGATCAAGAAATTAATGAATCAATGAGATCGATGGGATCAAATATCAAGGATCAAAGATAACAAAAGGATCAACAGATCAAATGGATCAACATGTCAGACTCAAGTTCACATGAGCCTCACAGCATAGTTTTAAAAAATGGATTTTGCTTCAGTTAAGACTCTTCAACGGAGGCTTCATTGAGGCAAAAAAATTCTTCTTTTTTATTTTTTTTTCAATCAACTAATTTTTTTTTTCTCTTTTTTTCTTATTCCTTTTTTCACCTTCCACCCAACCTCACGTTCTCTCTCATACTTCTTTCCCTTTCTTTTTTTTTTTTTTTTTTTCACTTTCACTTACTCTCTATCTCTTACAGATACAGATGATCTGCTTCTTGGCAAACCATTTCCAACTTTTTTTTTTCAAATTCCCCTTATTTTCTTTTTTTTTTCCTACCACTTCTCGTCTCCTTGCTAGCATGATATATATGTACATTATATATATATATATATATATATATATAGCTTTCATTTGCTTTTGAGCATAAATCAGAAAAATTGAAGACCCAAGGAGAATCACTTCGTATTTTCAGAATGGCTAGACCTCTTCTTCTTCTTGGTAATCCAGAAGAGGCGGCACAAATCAGTTTCAGCGACTCGCCAACATAATAGAGCTGCCAAGCGGGAACAATGGATTTTGATGCAAACCAGCGGCAGATGAGGTAGTGATTTTTAGAAATAGGAAGTTTAAAAAGACGTGTGTTTGATATGATTCAATTTGCAGGACGGTCTTCTTTCATCGGCGGAATTAGGGGTGTAAATCAGCCGAGTAAGGTAGGGTTGAACCGAAAAATTGAGTCTATCCGATCAGTGTGGGTTGAGAAAATTTTAGACCGCAACACTCTCTTAAGTCTAGAAACTCGCAACCTTTCGGGTGACCTCGGGTAGGGTCAGGTTACTTGGGTTGGTGATCTCAAGGACCACATGATCACTTTTTAGTCAATTAATCTGTGCTTGTTACAGAAGAAATCATTATCAAACAGAACATGTCTTTCCTTCAAGAGGGGGTCTAAATGCAAGGTGAACAATTAAAACACTCACTTTAAAATCAAACACTTCCAATATAAATAAAGAATGCCCTAATTCAACAACTATGGCATACAAATATCTTTTACACAAACCGTGAATCCAAAACATAAATAAGTTAACAGTTTAAATGCATAAAGTCCATAAACTTATGAAAGTAAGAATTTGAAGTGTTGGACATTGTTTTACCTACTTTGAACATGTTCGGCCGGATAAGGTTACCTCGGGTTCATGTAACCCCACCCTGCGCAGTGCGGATTATGCATAATTATAACCAAAAATTAAATAAAAAATTAAAAACCCGTGATTTTCGAGTAGGGTCAGCTCGGCTCAACCGGGTTCGTCGGGTTCAGGGTAATTTCTTACAGCCCTAGGCGGAATGATGAATATTTCAGAAATGATTTTTAAAATAGAGCATGGTTGGCTCTGAATGCCATCTTGTAAATCAGAAATAAAAATGAAATAAAGATAAAAAAGAAAGAAGAATAAAGATTTAACGTCATTTGACAATTTGTCTACGTCTAGAGATTATGTCCCGTTCATTTCGCTGATTCGAGTTTAGAATTTGAGTTTTACTACAGTAAAAAGCTCTCACAAACAATCACATCTAACTTTTTTACTACAGTAAAAAGTTCTCACATAAAATTATATCTCAACTCGAATTAAAAACTTGAATTATCGAAATGAACGGATTTAAGAATACGTTCACTCTTTCTGATAAATTTTACAATGAGTACATACATCATTATATAGAGTCTGATCGACAACTAATTGACAATCCAATCACTCCTTATTAACAGCCCTTGATTCACAACTATAAAATCAACAAAATCTCTAAAGATAAAAAGGATCACAAATATAACAAACACAGCTCTCTGTGATAATTGTAAGAATAACAAAAACATAACAAACCTCAACACAAACAACAAAGCAAAGCAATCTTAACTAAAACATGCCGACGAAGCAAACTTAGAGAAATATATCTCAAAATCTGAAGAGCAATTTCAATGAAAAAGACCAATTATTTGTTCAAGATGGTGATCAACGAATTTTTCAAAATCACAGCTCTTTGTTCAATTTTCTCTTAAGGAGTTGAGTTTGGATTCACACGAAAATTGGAGGTCGGCAACGATGGAGGTCAGAACACTCCCCTCCTAAAGGCGCCGCCCCTTCAACTCGCCGGCGTCGAGGTTCGATCGGCTTCAATGAGAATTGGGTAAAGAAAGGGTTCGTCTCTTCAGACCTTTTTGTTTCTTTTGTGATGGGGTTTTTCATTTCATGTTAGTAATAACAAGTTTTTATTATTAATGTATCTACCCGTTCATTTCACCGATTTGAGTTTAAAATTTGAGTTTTATTACAGTAAAAGGCTCTTAAAAATAATCATATTTAACTTTTTTACTACAGTGAAAAACTCTCACGTAAAGTCACATTTGAACTCGAATTAAAAACTTAAATCAACGAACTAAACGGGCCATAATAATTTTTTTTGGAAAATAGTAAAAAATATGCCAATATGAAAAGCTTAAGAAAGTATATAGGCCAATTTTTAGTTATAGAAATTAATAGGCCATAACTTGTTAAGTTATGGTTCATAACCAGATAAGTTATGGACAAACTTGTTAAGTTATGATTCATAACCAGACAAGTTATGGACAATAACTTGTCAAGTTATGGTTCATAATCATACAAGTTATGGACGAAAACAGTAATTTGACATATTTATTAACTTATGTAAACTATTGACCTATTAATTTTAATTCATCTCAAGTCTTGGCTTATTTCTCTCTTTCTCCCTTACTTTTTTAACTTAAAGTAGGTTTTTTAGATTTTAAATTTATGCCACGTCAGCTTAAAACAAAACGGAGAGTAATAGAAAGAGTATTCTTACTAACGTTATAAAATTCAAAAGAGTAGATCACTTTTTAAAGTTTAAGGGATAAAGTGAATAAGAACTATAGTTTAAGGGGTAAAAATAAAATTTATCCTCATCGTAAGGATAAGCTGAATGATTAATGTTGAATAAAATTTTTCTCCAACAATTACTGTAGAAGATTTCAAGCCCAGAAAAAGTACAAAGCTTAGCTGTAAGATTATCCTGAATGATGTAGAAATACTGTGCAAATCGTGCTGGATGACATCGGGAGCACAGATTTAAATTACTTTTTTCTTTCATTTCCACAAAAAAAAAAAAAAAAAAAAAAAAACCCCAACAGCAAATGATGGGAACGGGAAAAAGTGAACGGGAAAAGACCAACACAATTTACCAATGGCTGTACTCATGTATTACTAATATTAGAATACATTCTTTGTTGTTAATACAACTCTATTTTGCTTCTTTTCTTGCAGTCCATTCAGCATTAATCTAACCGGGACATAAATTATGAAACTAAACAAAAAAAAAAATTCAAAATGAAATAAAAAAAAAAAGGTTTCAGAGCCAATGCACTATCAATCACAACCAAAATTTCCAAAATTTGTCGGGGCAATATCAAACGATCTTTACAAGTCACCTGCAAAGTTGCCCCAATAAAATCTGCGGGTTCATTTCTCGCTGCGAGTCTTCAAAAACTCTGCACTTTTATCAAAATCACTCCCTTGCCGTAGGTTAAGATTAGCTTCAATGTTGTAACTTTGAAATTCTCAGAACTTCATCTCAACTATAAATCACCTGTCTGTATCATGAACTTCATAGTAAGTCTTCAGTTCCTGTTAATTTTGCATATTCATTTTCATCAATAGCCCCCTTTTTCAGCTTCTTCAGTAGACGGTATTCCCGTGCCAACTCTTCTTCTTCTTCAATTGACTGAGCAGCACGTCTCTGTTTAGCTGTTTTCTTTCGCATCAAAGTAGGTGCAGCATTTGAACTTCTGCCAGCCTTTTCAGGTTTTGGCTGTTGCTGTTGCGCTTCTTTCTTCGCTTGCAAATTTTTCCTTCTTTGCTTCTCACGAGATTTATCCCTAAATAACCAATTAAGTTTACTTTTTCTTAGCACAGTTTTACACTGGAAGATGAGAAATTGTTTTTATGTCGGTCATGCCAAAGGCAATTAAAAGGTCAAAACTTTGTAACTACAAGTGTGAATATGTGTGTGTGTAATTCGAAGAAAAAAAAAATACTGAGCCTTTGATGAAATACAAAACAAAACGTTCAACAAATCAAATGAATCTAATGAAGCTAGTTCAGAGAAAATATTGCTTGAAAAAGAATTCCTTGTTAGGTAAAAACATTAAAGAATCATTTGAATACCAAAATAAGAAATTTGCACCTTACCTAGAAAACTGGTTTTATCCTTATCACTAGCTCTAGAGAGGTGCAGCACCTTATAACTTATTCAACAGGTGCAAATAAACTATTGAGTAAAGGGTGTTAAGAATCTTACTTATATTTGATCTCCTCCACATTGATATCTTCAACAGGGGCGAACCCTTCCGTGGGAAGTGAATGGTGTTTCACCTCAGGCATCGCTGGAAGCTTCAACAATCCAAATCCCATGCACAACTTCCCAATTTCAAGATCTTTCCACCTGTTTCAAAAAATTAAAATAGCTTGAGAGAGAAGAGAGAGAGAGAGAGAGAGAGAGAGAGAGAGAGCACTGAAAAGAAGCAGTCACACACCTGAAAATGTAAGAGCAATGATGCTCTTTATACCCACGGACATAAGAAACAAATGCTCTAAGCCCTTTTTCCATGACATCACGATCCTTTTTTGCTTCAGATCGTATCTAAACAAAAGATGGACCAAAAATATCAAGTTAGAAGTGCCCAATTTTGATGGTATCAAATATTTCAAAATCAAGTACTAGTAGGTCGTTGGTATCAAATATTTCAAAGTCAAGTGCTAGAGAGCAAGAGGAAGGGAGGAGGGAAGGAAGGAACAAAAGATAGAACAAAAATATAAGTGCCGTATTTTGTTGGTATCAATATTTCAAAATCAAGTGAGAGGGAGGGAGGGAGGGATGATGATGAAAAATTTTAGAAGACGTTTCAATTACATTTGTTATTACTAAGGATGATGATGAGATGATGTAGTCTTAGAAGACTCTGTTTCAGTTACAATTTTTTTTATTACTAATGATGATGATGAATATGATGATTGCCACATAATGAATCCTGCTAACCAGCGGAACAACATCAGAAGCATCTTCAGATAATTCCCTTTCTTGAACATGAACCCTTTTCACACGAAGATATTCCACATAACCTTCCTCCTGGAATGATACAACATAATGACCACCATTATCATCCATATTGAACAGCAACATGTGGACAACGTGATAGTACTAATTATACATACAGCCACTAAATAGTTTTGTAACAAAAGGAATCACTTATCAAATGGTTACAGAAATAAGAAATACACCTTTGGCATCAAGAAAATAATTGAATCTCCTTCTCTACCCATACGAGCAGTTCTTCCAACTCTATGTATAAAGACATTTGGATCTTGAGGAGGATCATACTGCAAAAGCAAACAGTTGACAGTTAATGAAACTGGTAGTGAAATGAAAAGACTCAATAACTTGCACGTCAGACAGTACAAATGTGTCAACTTTAAACGTTACATAGACTGCATAGCTTACACCATTCCTGTACTTAAGAAGTTACCTGAATAACAAAATCAACGCCTGGAATATCAAGTCCACGTGCCGCAACATCAGTGCACAGAAGAACGCCACTTGCAAGCGATCTAAACTTGTCCAATGCTTTATCCCTTGCAGTCTATAGAACGCAAAAAGTTTAAATAGAGTTCACAATCATTACAAGTTGATGAAATGATGAATTTATTCCCTTGGCCAACGTATGTTGCACTTTAAATCACCTGTTTCATCTTCCCCCATAGAGGGATTAAATTCAAACACTTTAAAGAAGCAAGACGTGGAAGAACAAGTCCCCAGTACTGAACACAAGCACAAGTCATCAAGTATCTACAAAAGAAAAAGAAAAGGGAAAAAAAAAAAAAAACATTTATTAAATCACAGTAATTCATTGTCAATCACAAGGACAACACACTAATCAATCTTTTGTCGGAATATGCAAGCAACTCACACTATAATCTTTTTAGACTTGTTCTTAATAAGGAGATCCACAAGCTGTGATGATTTTTTGTCTGCTTCACACTCCAAATACTGCAATTAAAAAAACTGTGTTATTTCTACTATTCTGATTCTTCGTCTCCTCAAGCGAAGATTTAAAAAAAAAAAAGGAAAAACAGGATCCAGCATACATTGAGGTGAAGGCCCGAAGGTGTATTCCAAGAGGAAGCTTGTTCTGCCAATGCTGAACCATTTACAGACTTTGTTTCAGCCCGTACTTCGACTCTCACGGGATTTCTCAGTCCGGCCTTGGCCAGCTCTTCCACTGCCTGAGTTTGAGTTGCTGAGAAGAGACCAGTTCTCCGAAGCTTTGGCAACCGAGCTATAATCGAAGTCATCTGCCTTTGGAATCCCAAATCCAAAAGCCTATCGGCCTCATCTAGAATCAGAACCTATAAACAACCATCACACACTATCACTCGTACACATTCACATAATTTTGATGCATACCAACATTAATTTCGGTTTAGAAACCGGAAATTTAGTGCACTTGATTTTCAACTATCTTTTCCTACAAGGTTCCAGCCAACATTGATCAAAGGGCATGGATTGAACTTGAACTTAAAATTATCTTTCTCAAAGAAACGAATACAGACCTCAAAGTTCCTGAAGTCCAAGCTTTCAATTCGTTCCATAATATCGAATAGCCTCCCGGGAGTTCCGACCAACAAGTTAGCTCCTTCCTTCTCGATTTTCTTTATGTCCTCTTTCACGTCGGTTCCGCCGACTAAAAGCACCGACTTGAAATTCGGTAGCGTCGAAATGAATGGCTGAGCAACGGTGAATATTTGCGTGGATAGCTCCCTCGTCGGAGAGATGATTACTCCCATAACCTGCATAGGCAATGAATAGGTTTCGTTTCTTTTAGGAAAAAATTTCTCGGCATCCAAACGGGGAATTAAGAAGGGAACGAGGAGAACTTTGGCACACCTGGTGAGGTTTCGGAGGAGGCGAAACACGGCGGAGAATCTCGACGAGTGGGACAACGAAGGCTAGGGTTTTGCCGGAGCCGGTGGCGGCGTCGACGGCTACGTCTTTAAAGCTGCAAAGCAAGGGGATTGTGGCGGCTTGAACCGGCGTGCAGAACTCGAAGCCGGCTTGGGAGAGGGCTTCAAGAACCGCCGGAGAAAGCGGCGGCTTGAGATCGGAGAAGCGGGTGTCGGTTAACGCCCGGTTGGGGTTGTGCTGAGGATCATCGGCCATGGCGTCGCGGCAACAGTGCACGGTGTCGTTTGTGGTTTTGGCGGTTCACTTTCGGGACAATTGAGCCCTCGTTGAGCTCAAGGTAAGGTAAGGTCGGGAATTCTTTCTTTATTTTTTTTTCCCCTGAGAAAATAAGGTGAATTGCAGTTTTTTAACTATACTTTTTTAATAAGCATCGAAATTTTATTTTTTAAATAAATGGTCCCAACTTTTTTTATTTCAACAAAATGTAATTATTGATTAAAATTAATTAATTATTAATTAAATAATAAAAATTATTGAGTTAATCAATGATTAATTATTATATTAATTAATGATTGACTATTAAATTAATAAGAGAAACAACTATTTTGATGAATTTTACAAAATTTTACTTATTTAAAAAAAATCCTTAAAAATGGGGCCATTTTTCCCAATATCTTTTTTTTAACAACTCCTGTGTAGTTTCATGTGAAACGACTGTGGATTACTTATTGAAAGTTTGTCGTTTTAAAACATGTCATATGGGCGTAAACGCCACAATCCTTTTGATTTTGTGTCGTTTCAATACGAGATGCAAGTCGTTTGCAGTCTTCCAAGTTCTTTGTTTTTCTATTTTTTATTTTTATTTTACTTTTCTTCTGTGTATTTTATTGAAATATTGTGCTCCCCTTTATATGTTACAAGGTATAATCTCGTAGTTATCTTTCATTCTCGTGTTTTGTATTTTTCTTGTTTTTATGGAGATGTCGGTTATCAAAATTTTCTGCTGTTTATATGCTAGCATGTTCCTTGCCGATAATCTCCACAACTTGTCACTTTGTTGCTTGGGAAATTGATGTCGTTTGGTGGAGTAAACGACACGCCGTTCGATTAATCATCTAACAGTCACTATCACCGAGATTTTAATTTAGTATTAGATTAAGATTATTTATTCTTAAATATTTGCTTCAGCCCACAATCCACAATAGTTAACCAAAACAAACAAAAAAACAAAAAAAAAAACAAAAGGAAAAATACAATATTGAATATTCTACTATCAAGTAAGATACACCCGCCTAATTTGCACGAGTAGTCATAAAATATAACTAATAGCTATTGTTAATTTCTTATAACCATACCCCCACCTTACCATACCGCGGAAATTACTCCCTCAGCGTCTGGGAACTTCACCAATGACCTGAAACCACTTTCTCTGCAAAACCAAATCACAGAAACAACCATAACCCGTAATGGAAGTTTAATTGAAAGAAGCAAAAGGCGGAAAATAATGGTGACGAGACGAGATTTGCTGAAATGGCATCTTCTCATTCTTCTTCTCCTCCTAACGATTTCTTATCGAGTTTTGTGCTTGAGCTCTGCCTCGGCCATATGCGATTTCAGCATCACCGACCGTAACAAGCTCTACAACTTCAACTTGGCTTCTCCCTTGCGAAATTTCCCTCATGGCGTCCTCAGCGAAGATGGGTATTTTCTCTTTTTTTTTTATATTTTTTTCGGACTTATTTTATATGGCCGTTTTTTTCATTTTGGTGATTGATTACTGTTTGATACCAGGGATCTGGGCTAAGGGGGATCTTAATCGTATTTAGGGATTACGATTTGATGCATGTAATAAGGGTACACGTTATTTTTATTTATTGTTTTTTAGTGCTTGTATTTGGTGTCCATTGTTATTAACGCTTTCCCTTATTAGTATTTTCTTCGCTGTTATAATTATTGTAATGATTTGTGTTACATGTAGGGATTTGACATCCACTTGTTTGTTAGGGATTAAACGTCCTAATCCTTTACTAACAAGAGCAATAAAATAAAAGAATTGTAATCTAATGCACATAACAAAAATTAATAATAAAAAAGTGCAGACGCTAAAGTTATAGTGATTTACCTCAATGTAAGAGCTACGTGCACTTTTTCATAGAAGATAGGGTAACCGAAATGCGTCTGCGAAAACCGTAAGATCGATCCGTGTGCTAACTTTGTGTCAGGGAGATAATTTGACTCCACACCCAACACTGTTTTGGAGAAATGTTGGGTTTAGTCTTCTTTTTTTTTTCTTTTTTTTTTTTCCTGCTGTAGTTAACTTATGGAAATGTATGCTTTAACGGGTTGCTAATATATGATGTTCAGCTTTTTTAGTTGATGAGTAATTCTTTTATGGTGACGTTTTTATGCATTTTTGTAGATTTTAATCATGTCAGGTTCTAATCAATTTACCTTTTTCTTTTGTTTTCTGCATTATCCTATTACAGGTTTTATAAGGTGGAAGAAAACGAGACTGTGCTATGGTTTCAGGTTGGCCCCATCAGGTCACATTTCTTTGTTTTCCTAGTTATTGTTACTATCACTATAAATTTAATTATGTTGAGATCAGTTGCTTGTTGTGATTGCAAACAATGAGGAGACCATTTTTCTTTTGTATTTTGGGCTTTTGCAAGTTTATAGGGAATTTATATAGACCATGTGGAACCAAGACAAAAGTTCTCTAGACACTAGACTGGTTCGCGATAGGAACCGTTGCATGAAAGGGAATTCTTTTCCTCTTGTGGAAGATAGCTTTGTACCAGATATTGTAGATTCTTTCACTTTATTTCTTAATTCCAATTCATTATACTGAGTTTTTCCTCATTGGTACCCATGCGCAGCTTTGCGATGTGATGGGTTTCAACCACGATCCACCTAAATGTGTTGACTGCCCGGTAATGATTCCCCAGTTTCATAAATTCATTTATTTTTCCCCTTTCTTTTCTTAGACAGAGCAGAGTACACTTTTCATTCTTTATAATTCATAAATCCAAGTGTTATACCAGTTTAATAGGGAATTTCTTTTAAAAACCTGCCCTCAGGGTTAGGCTAGTTCAAATTCTACCCATTGTTATGAAATAGAGAAATTCATGTTATGCCATCCCTAAATTTACCAAAAAGATCCTGCTTATTTCTTTTCTTTTTCTTCCCCCCCGCTTCTACTCAATGTTGTAGGACTGTGGAGGCCCCTCACACTGTGGTATGAATTGTAGTGCACTTGTGGCTAACAACATAGGAGGTAATATTCTCTGAGGCTTCTTTCACGTTTTTAATTAATACAGTTGATTTTTAGTTTCTGCAAATTACTTAGTTTTAAAAGGATTTATACTAGGATATCTGCTTCCGGTAAATCCATTCCCTCATAATTTTTTAGTTAGCTAAGACTAAAGTTCTAGCTCCTAAAGAGTTGCTTTTGGTAGTGCTCATGTGCATGATGTCTGCATATTTTGCCTTCTAGCAAAGAAGTCCTCATCAGGAAATGATTGGAGGTTAAAGTATATTGGAGATGGGAAAAAATTGTTTTTTATTGCTCTAACGCGAAACATACTTTGTATACAGGTTATCCAGTATGCACTACTATTGGGCGTGCTAAAAGCATAAGTATTAACATTATTGGTGAGTTGCTACTTGATTCTTTTGTATTATCTTCCATATTGCATGTAGAAATATTATGTTTTCAAAAAGAATTTATTTATATGGCATTTGGTACAACATGAAAGCAAATTCATACTGCTATTTTAGATTTTATAAGGTTTCTCTCTTATCAAACTTCGGCAGATAAGGAAAATCCTCCCATGGGTGTCATTGTTAAGATGTCAAATAGTGGCCAAGCGCACAACTGTTCACTTACAGTCTCTGTAATCTGTGATGCAAATGGAGTTCAGGTAGCATCTTTTCTATATTAACTTTAGGATTCTTAAGTTCTCGCACTTTCCATACTGTATTTATGGCTGTACTTCTTTTTCTTTTTCAGGGACCTTATTCACTGAACCGGACTGGGACATGTGCTTATGTAAGTGCTTTCATTTTTATTACTTTTTTAATTTCATTAATGTAGAATTTTAAGGCTCCTGCAACTGATTATGATGGTAATGATATCTTGACTAGCTTCTCCTGAGAATAAATTTTAACTTTACCGAATTCTGGAAACTATTTTTCGTTTTTAATAAAATCAATGCCTCCAGCTTGAGTGGCAAATGCTCGTGTGTATTCCAGGTTTAACCAAAAATAATAATAATAATAATAATAATACAAAGAAAGAGAGAGAGAGCGAAAGAAAGAAAGAAAGAAGCTAATCATGAAGCAAGGATTAAAAACTTGTATGCTGGGTAGATTTCTGACACTTCCTACCTGGCTTTTAGTGTGGATAGCCAAAAAAGAAAATAATAATAAAAAATTATTATATCAATCTTGAATTTATTTAACTCAGGTGGTTGGTACTTGAGGAAATCAGACGAGCTTGCAATTGCTTTATGTGCCATAATATATTTTGCAACATGAATTTGATGGAGGTTTTGAAATGCCTGGGACGTAGGTATAGATGTTAATTTTACATGCCTGTTCACACTGTTTTAATTTCATAATTTGATATTTCTGGCAGGCTACAGAGCTAAAACATCCTTCTGGCTGTGCCGAGGTTGCAAATATAAATGCAAAAGGGTGGGGCTGGTTTAGTACCTTAATCTTAATGTAAGGTTTTAATTTGTGAACACTTACTATTGCGTACTACTAAAATCTGAGTGAGTCATCTTCATGTACTGATAGTTGTCATGGTTACAGCATCGTATGCCTTTTTGGAGCATATCTTCTGGCTGGTGCAGTTTATCGATATTTCTTCCTTGGAATTCGTGGTATAGAGGTATGTTTGTCTCTTCCAAGTTGAGCTTCTTCTTTGTATCCATCTCTATGTCTATTCAAAGTTCGGTTTTCTTTATTTGCCCAACTGTTTTCCATGGAACGTTATAAAATGGGATTGAATTTTCTCGACCCCTCAGCCTTTATAAACGTTAAGATCTACCAGTAATGTAAGGTTGAAGTAGGGAGAATTAGATTGTTTGAGATAAGAGTTAGTGATATCAAGTCCTATTTAAACAACTAGCAAGGAACACTTGACACAATTAAGTATATTTTACTCTGAACGACAAAAATCCAAGCAAAAATTTAAAGGAAGAAAAAGTATTAAAAGAAAAATGCTTTCATAAATTACAGGAAACTGTTGTATAACAAGCATCTCGACATAATTGAGGTTGTATTTTAAGGTAGCCTCTGGCATTGTGCTGACCCATATTGTTCTGGTCCTCTAAGTTCCATGTTTCCATGGCATGCCAGCACGAAACTGATGTTAATTGAGGTTTTCTGGCTGAGCCGTTGGGTTGAGAAAGAGTCTCTCGTATGTACATGTAAACATTTGTTTTATCACATGCACTTGCTTGTCTATCAAATTCTGTCATCCATGAAATTTTTACTGGAGCTTACCAGGAAAAATTAGATGGCTCATTCATTCTTCCAGCATACAACAACAACAACATCAAGCCTTAATCCCACTTAATTGGGGTCGGCTATATGGATTTCACTTTTTCACGCAACTCTGTTCGAAATTAGACTTTTCTGAAGGTCTAGATCTAGAATGTCTTTTCTAACTATTTCAATCCATGTAATTCTTGGTCTACCCCTCCCTCTCCTAGTATTAGGTATAAGAATGTCCTCCCAAGCACAAACTAGTGCTTCTAGCGGTCTACATTGGACATGCCCGTACCACCTCAAGCGGCCTTCGCGCACCTTTTCTTCTATTGATGCTACACCTACTTTACTACGGATAACTCCATTCCTTATGCGACCCATTCTTGTATGGCCACTCATCTATCTTAAAATACGCATTTCTGCCACACGCATCTTAGATATATTTTATCTCTTAATGGCCCAACATTCACTACCATATAACATAGTTGGGCGGATTGCAGTCCTATAGAACTTTCCTTTCAACTTAATAGGCATCTTGCCATCACATAAAACTCCCGTAGCATTCTTCCACTTAACCCACCCTGCCTTAATCCTATGTTGAATATCCTCTTCTATATCTCCTTCATACTGCACTATAGACCCAAGGTACCTAAACTTCGTAGAAGCCCCAATCTCCACACCATCTAACGAAGCTCTATCACTCTGATTACTTGAGTTACTAAACCTACAATACATGTATTCAATTTTCGTCATATTTAACTTAAATCTATTTGTCTCGAGAGTCTATCTCCACAGTTCTAATTTACGGTTAACTCCTTCCCTCTGTTCATCAACTAAAACTATATCGTCCGCAAAAAGCATACACCAAGGAACTCTATCTTGGATTTCTCTTGTCAGCTCATCCATCACAATGGTGAAAAGATAAGAACTAAGAGCATACCCTTGATGAAGGCTGATCCGAATGGGGAACTCTGCCGTGTAGCCTCCAGCAGTTCTCACACTCGTGACCACCCCATTATACATGTCCTTAATTACCTTGATATACCTCACATGCACTCCTCTCTTTTCTAGCACCCACCATAAAATTTCCCTCAGCACCCTATTATATACATTTTCTAAATCTATAAAGACCATATGTAGGTCCATCTTGGCTTCTTTGTACCTTTCCATCAGCATCCTAAGAAGAAAAATGGCTTCTGTGGTTGATCTGCCTGGTATGAAGCCAAATTGGTTACCTGAGATGGTAGTTGTGGCCCTTAATCTCCTTTCAATAACTCTCTCCCAAAGTTTCACAGTGGCTTATTAACTTGATGCCCCTATAATTGTTACAATTCAGCACATCTCATTTATTCTTGAAGATGGGGACAAGAATACTTTTCTTTCATGCTTCAGGCATATGCTTCTTGTAGATTTTCAGAGAAGGAAATTGCCCTCTTTTTCTCTCTTATTAATCTCATTGAATCGGTACAAAATATATATATATATACTACAACTATAAATTCTAGGTTAAAGAGAATCGGGAAAATATCCCACTAAACTAGGAGATAAGAGATAGAGGAAAACTGAATTTAAAGATAGGAAATCAAATCCTAATCCTAATATCAATCCGAACTATATTGAGGATAATTCCTAATTTGAATTTTGAATTTCAACACTCCCCCTCAAGCTGATTTGTATATGTTGAACAAACACAGCTTGTGATTCAGTTTCTCAAAACTTGTCCTTGGTAGGGCCTTAGTGAGGATGTCTGCCACTTGAGATTGAGTAGGGATGTAAGCCGGCTGCACAATGGACTTTTCTATTTTCTCTGCAATGAAATGTCGATCAATCTCGATATGCTTCGTTCTGTCATGATGTACTGGATTCTTTGCAATCCGTATAGCTGCTTGGTTATCACAAAGTAATCTGATAGGCTTCTCATTTAGTACCCCCGTCTCACCAAGTAGTCTACGTATCCACATACCTTCACAAATACCCAGTGCTAGTGCTCTAAATTCGGCTTCTGCACTGCTCCTTGATACGACAGGCTGTTTCTTGCTCCTCCAAGTTACTAGATTTCCCCAAACATAGCAACAGTAGCCGGTGGTTGATCTTCTATCACTGACATCTCCTGCCCAATCTGCATCTGTGAAGACTTGAATATCTCTATTCTCTGATTTCTTATATAGTATCCCTTGTCCTGGAGTCATCTTGAGGTATCTTAGAATTCTGTACACTGCTTCCATGTGCTCCTCCATAGGATTATGCATGAATTGGCTTACCACACTTACTGGAAAAGCAATATCAGGTCTCGTGTGTGACAGATAGATGAGTCGTCCTACAAGTCTCTGATATCTCCCCCTGTCAACAGGTGTAGTGTCGTTCCCAGTCCCTAGCTTCTTTGCCGAGTCCATTGGTGTGGTTGTGAACTTTACAAACAGTGTGTGATCTGCTTGACACTGAGTGTATCCATATCTAATTACTGACTTTGCAAACCTGTCAAACCAAGCTCGAGGAGACTGCTTGAGTCCATATAGTGACTTCTTGAGCTTGCATACCTTGTTGTTGCTGACGGTAGTTTCCAGTCCTGGAGGTATCTGCATGTAAACTTCTTCTTCCAAGTCACCATTCAAAAATGCATTCTTAACATCTAGTTGGTGCATCGGCCAATCTAGATTCGCAGCAAGTGAGAGAAGGACTCTGATGGTGTTCAACTTGGCCACTGGCGCAAACGTCTCTTGATAGTCTATCCCATAGGATTGAGTAAATCCCTTTGCAACTAGTCGGGCTTTTAGTCTTTCAATGCTTCCATCCGCATTATGTTTGACTGTGAATATCCACTTGCATCCGACTGGTTTCTTTTCACACGGAAGATCAGAGCGGGAGGTCCTGAGTTCAAACCTCCGTAATTGCACTATTTATCCCCATTTAAAAATTGTCATGTGTTGGGTCTTTAATATATCTCGGGCTTAAATATTCACGTGTTGGGCTTTCCAATTAATTTACCTACACGATTGCCCATTGTCCAGCCCACACGTGAGGGGGACTGTTAAAGTATAAAACTATTGTTAGCCCACCTCCTAACAGCTTAAGCTTTTGGGATGGATTGGTAAACTAACACTTCTTCTTTAGCATCTCATTAAAAAGCTTAGTGAGCCACACAATTCATATATCTCCTAACGCCATCCAAACTTCTATTGAATATTATCTGGTCCACATGCCTTCTCCTTTTTCATTTTTCGTAGTGCAGTTTTAACTTCTGAGACTCTGATTCCTCTTGTATGCATCACATTAGGTTCTCCTTGTGACCTAAGATCGTCAAACTCTATCACATGATCATCATTATAAAGTTTCTTAAAGTAATTCCACATTTTCCTAATGTCTTTATCTTTTGTCAGAACCTGATCCGTATCATCCTTAACACACCTCACTTGATTTAGGTCCCGACACTTTCTTTCTCTTATACAACTAGTTTATATATATCATTTTCTCATTTTCTAGTCCCAAGTTTCCTATATACCTCATCTAAGTAAGTAGATCGAGCCTTACCAATTGCTCGCTTAGCTTCTTTCTTCGCTTCTTTGTACGTATGAAAAGTTTCAACATCCTTACGCTTTGGTAAATCTATGTAAATCCCTGTTGGTCCTAATAGCCTTTTGAACTTCTTCACTCCACCACTAGGTTTCTTTCCCTGGGGGGCCTTTACCTCTAGATTCCCCTAGTACCTCCTTTGCCACTTTTCTAATGTAGCTGGCCATGGCATCCCACATAGTATTTACATCACCTATATATGACCAAGTAGCCTCCTCGAACAACTTCTCTTTAAAGGCTAATTGCTTTATTCCCTTCAAATGCCACCAACGAGTTCGTGAGAGGTGGTTTATCTTAGTCCTTCTATAGCAAAGCTTAATGCTCACATCTAAGATCACTAACATATGTTGGGTGGCTAGTACTTTTTCAGGAATTATTTTACAATCCTTACATAGAGAACGTTCTCTATACCTTGTGAAAAAATAATCTATCTGGCTCAAGTTCTTTCTATTCTTAAAAGTGATCAAGTGAGAATTTTTTTTCTTCAAAAATGTGTTTGTTATGATAAAATCATGTCCCAACGCAAATTCCAAAAATAGATTTTCCTTCTTCGTTTCGAGCTCCAAAACCAAAACCATCGTGGATCCTTTCGAATTTTTCCCTATCCTTACCAACATGCCCATTGAAATCTCATCCAATGAAAATGCTATCCTCATTGCCTATACGACACACTAAGTCGTCCATGTCTTCCCAGAACTTGACTTTAGTTTCTGCATCCAGTCCTAGTTGTGGAGCGTAAGCACTAATTACATAGATGAACTTATTTCCTAGTACCAATTTGAGTATAATAATTCTATCCCCTATTCGCTTAATCTCAACTACGTCATCCTCCACAATTTTGTCCACTAGAATACCAACTCCATTGCGATTCCTTTCCCAACCTGTATACCTTAACTTGTGTCCTAAATTTTCAATCTCCTGCGCTTTCTCTCATGTCCACTTCATTTCCTGTAAGCATAAAATGTTAATTCTTCTTCTTACCATAACATCTACTAACTCTATAGATCTACCAGTTAAAGAACCTACATTTCAACTACCTAAACGAATTTTCCTATACTGGGCATACTTGAACATAATTAGAGTCTTACTCTTACTGTTATGTTTTATGCACGTTTTTAACAAGTTATTATATTTAGAAAGAAATGTAAAACTGATTTAGTTATGCACCCTTGAATTTTGACGTGTGTCTCTCTCTTTTCAAGGTTATTCCAAACCTGGAATCCTGGACCAGCTTACCTCAGAGAACACAGGTATTTTCATGCCTTTTCCAGTAGTCGTTCCTTACTCAGGTCTTTTTACCCCTCAAAAGCCCGGTAATGATTATTAACTCGAAATTTCCTCTTTGCTTCTTACTGCAGAGTTTTTTTGCATCGCTTGTGAGAAGATTCAGAGGACCTTCACAAGGTTATCGAAGCTCGTATTCTTCTGTCAACTTCTGAGTGCAAATATTTTAATATTTGGTGAGTTCATTTTGGTATAATTTCTTCTCTACCGTGAGCATTTTCGACACCAAGTGCAAGTTGTTGAGTATCTTCAAAGCAGCCCTCTAGTTTGAAGCCTGTTGTTTCACCAAAAAAATGGACTTTTGCAGAACTAGGACTTAGATCACGCTCCATAATATCGCTCCTCTCCACCCCGTCAAATTCAATCAATTATTTTATTCCCGCCATTGATATTCAGTAGCTTGGTAATCCCCGTAGTCCTTGCTCTAGCAATTGCTAGCATTGTTCTTTTTCTCTAATATTTGAATTTTCACTGGCTCTCGTTCAAACAATTTTGGAGACATTGATTTCTTATACAATTTTGAACATGAAGTCGATTAAAGAAAACGGGAGTTTTTTCAGATTAATCATGGTTAACATTCTTTTTTTTTTTTTTTAAACATGTTCTGTTACTGGACCGAATCTCAATGAAACTTTTCTATCAAAACTAGTTCATAAGTTTTTAAGTTTGCTTAAAAAGACAAAACATGGTGATTGTAGATTTTCAAACTAGACTTGCTCTAAATAGTAACATAACATAAATTAGTGCTTCATAAAAACTGGAATTTTTAGTCTTATCTTATTTGTTCCTAAAGAACTCAGGTATAATCTTAGAGGATTGATGCTTGAGTGAAATCCAATAATTAGATTGGTTGTATTAGGTTGATGATTTTTGATGAAAGCGACTAAAACCTACTAAAAATACCTCAATTATACTAGTCAACGCAAAAAGTCAGTGTCTTGGACAAATTTGTGTTTAAAGCAAGAAGTAAATTACCTGATGAGGAAAATGGTTGTAACGCCTTTTTTTTTTTTTTTTTTTGGACGAGACAATTGAAACTGTTATGAGACATATGACTTTGCTTTGATGCAACATTGCAAAGCTTCCTAGAGAGCACCTCAAGCAGCCAAAGGGTTGCAACAAAAATAGTCACAATACAAGACTATGGTTATGTAGAGGAAGTTGTCAAATGTTTCATTTGGGTCGTTTTGTTTTTGTGAAGTTTGAGGTTTTAGATTCTGGGCTTATGTTGGCGAACCGCATTTGAAAGGGAACATTTTTGCCTGGACGAGATTGCTTGAATAATTGAATCCAGATGTTTTATGGGGTTTGTCTTGGGTTATTAACACTATTTTTGCATGTATTATGAGTATTGTATCACTTAGATCCCTGAACTTTTTATTTTGACAAATTAATTCCTGACTTTTTATTTTTTTAGCAAATTTAGTCCATGACATTAAAATTGACAAATGGCACTTAAAATTTCTTAATCGCATCTCAGTCGCACAGTAGCTGAAATTTTTATATAAATAGCTATATCAAATGCAAAACATTCTATTTTTATTTTAATAGCTACGAAGAAGAAAATATTTTGCATTTAATATAATTATTTTTGCGAAAATTTCAATTATATGGGATTTGGACGTGATTAAAAGGGATAGGAGAAGCAAATTAACAATGTTGCACGCCAAAGAAAATGGCAGATTGAGGCATGATGTTGTGGTGAGACAATCTGTTACAAAACAATCAAGTAATTAATGCTAATCGGTAGTTAAATAAATTGCTTACACTAATCGGAACCTTCTAATCTGTAGTTAAATAAGTTGCAATTAATTAAAATCGATTTAGTTGATACATCACTATTATTCGTTTCTGGTTGTCTTGGAGTGGCAGCCTACAGCTCATTAGCTCAATCAATCGTCCAATATTTTTGAGGGTAAGAAATAAGAAAATGAAGCAGGTGAGAGCCAACTACTCTGAAGCTGAAATCTCACCAGTTATCCTATTACTCTTTACCAAAGCTTCTTCATAAATTATTGCATCACTGCCCCTATGAAATTTTTAATTTGGAGTAGGAAACCATAAGATAGTATTAATATTGAAAGAAAAGATGTGATGATTACTAAGCAAAAGGCAATGGATTTTTTCAATATTGCATTGAGAAACTTGGCTTAGAAGCCAAGCGAAATTATAACCTCCATTTCCAAGTACACCATCATGTACCGCCCATTATCAGCAGTCTCCTACACTTGCTTCTCACGCCTTTCCTATGATATGCCTTTTTGTAAAGACCAAACCACGAAAGTGGACTCCCATATCTACAAGTAGCAAAAAGAAGGGCTGGATATTGTTGCAACTTCCTTTACTTCTGTCAAATTATGATCTCTAACAAGTAAACTCATATTGAAAAATATATTATTAGTAAAGCATACTTGTTAATTACTAAATCACATTAGAATCATATTAAATTAGAAAGTTATAATAATTTAATAGAATAAAACTGTCATGTCCTATAAATAGGGGTTCTTTTTTTCATTCGCTAATGACAGAAAGAATTAGATTTCACAATGCAAGTTGCTAATGCTAATTTTTTTTTTTAAATATATATATATATAAGTAATAATAAGTTGGAGAATTTGTTGATAAGGAAATAGAAATCATGAATAGCCTTAGACGAAATCAACTAGTACTTCACGATTATGTGTTAATTGCACTAATTAAAACCAATATATATATATATATATATATATAACAGAAAGAGGGGGGAAATAAAAAAAAAAAAAGGAAGGAAAGTGACATGTTGATTCTATTTAATTCATTTTCTACTTAATTATCCCAACCAACTAATAGCGCACATTGAGTAACATAATTACCAACGCTTCTAAACCATAACTACAAAAACACACGTCTTCCATAGTTATTACATTCATTTCAAATTCCCCAAAAAAGTCCATTCCAGAGACTTTTGTATACAACATAGACATCATTTTTCACAAGCTGATCTCAATCAAATTAATCAAGAAACCAAAGAAAAAACGAAACACGCCAAAACAAATAGCGATTCTTTAGTCATTGCAAACTGCAAACAAGAAGACGACAATGAAGCCTCCCCTGCCTTCCTCTTCCTCTTCGTCCTCCGTCCTCAGAAAGCCGCCACGTCAGCTCTCTCCCTACCTCTTCTCCTTGCTCGTCTTCATCGTCTTCGTCGCGATCCTCTACGGCGAGGACGTAATGTGCATCTTCAGCCAACAGCTCCAACTCGCTCCCGACTCGGCCCCACCCGGTGAGTCCACTCAACTCGTTAACAAACTCAACTCAAACAAAACGTTCTCCTTTATTCGAAAAAAAAAAAAAAAAAAAAAAACGAATTCTGAGAAACCGTGGTTTGCTGAAGCGGGTTTGGCTCTGGGTAGAGAGAGGAGGATTGCTAAGGAGAAGCTGCCGTTCGCCGTCGGGAAAACCGAGGAGAGTTGCGACGTGTTTAGCGGGAAATGGGTATGGGACGAGTCGAGATCGCTTTACGAAGAATCGGAGTGTCCTTATATACAGCCACAGCTCACCTGCCTCGAACACGGTCGACCGGAGACAAAGTACCAGAACTGGAGATGGCAACCCAACGGCTGCGATCTTCCCAGGTACGCCATTTCCTTTATTTTTTTTATCAAATTCACCGTCTCGATTATAATTAACAAAATTAGAACAAAAAAATTCAAGAGTTTTATCATACAAATGCACTTCTCGATTGTTCTGATTCAAGAAATGAAATGGTGGATCAAGTTTCAGATTAATTATACACTTCCTCTCGGAATTCGATTTTCTTTTTCTTTTTAAATAGTTGGGATTTCGTTTTTCTCGCTTTACGGAATAGTCTTTTGATTCTTTGGAAACTCACCGACAAAGCGAAGAATTTATAATTAGTACGGTTTTTCTATTTGTCTCATCTGAAAAAAAAAAAAAAAAAAACAGTTTCTCTCGTCTCCTTTTTTTCCCCTACCTTTTTGTTTTTTTGTTTCTTCTTTTACTCTCATCGGAGCCGTTGGCCGGCAAATAACGGCCAAAGATGGTACACGTGTCGTGTTATGGTGGATCTTGGGTGTGGAGATGATCAACAGCTTGAGTGTGTGGATTAGAAGTCAGACCTGTTCGTGACTGGTAATGAGGGGTTTTGAGTGGGGCCCAACTTTTTTTTTGTACCAATCCACGTGTCAGTTTGCGGTGATGAGTTTTCTGATGATTGGTCCCTCTCGCGGTGGGACTAGTTGCGTCCGTGTACGTCGCCGCCATTTATTTCGCGCGTGATCACATGCAAAGTTTTTGTCTTTGTTTTTTATTTTTTTATTTTTGGGTATCGTGAGTACATGCGAAGTTCTCTCTGTTGTTGTTTTGGCTATAAAACGTGGAGAGAATGTTATTGGATGGCTTCAAATAATTTCGTAACTTTTAGTTATTATTATTATTGGTAAGCATTACCGCTAAGGTGACCCCTTGGGGGTCACATATTGTACCCTTAATTCTAGTTTTAGCAGAATCAATTGTTGGTCTATTTTCTCACGAAAAAAGAAGGAATTTTTGCTTTGATTTACTGCATTTTTGGTTATTGGGCTAGCGGAACGTGTAATCCTGGCTAAAACTTGTGTGAATTAGAGGAATACTCTAGTTCATAAATAAAAATGGTACACATGAAAAGAAACTAGATTTCATAATAGTACTGAGCCTAATTTACACCTAAAAGTTTGAGTGAATTAGAGAGATATCATATTATCATTCTTAGATAGTTGGGAATTTAAATACATGAAAAATTTAAGCCTAATTTGTATTAAAGTAATTTACAAAATCTTTGCATTTTACACCTAAAAGTTGGGGCTGTTCAAAGAAGGCCTGAGATAAGATCGTGGGCTTTAATTAGCCCCAAGCACGTTTCAGGGCTTTTTGCTCTGTTTCTCAAATCTTTTTTTTTTTTCAGAAATAGTAGAAAATAGGTCATGAAAACTTAAGAAAGTATATAGATTAATTTTTAGTTAGAGAAATTAATAGGTCATAACTTGTTAAGTTATGGTTCATAATCAGATAAGTTATGGACAAACTTATCAAGTTATGGTTCATAGCCAGACAAATTATGGACAAAAACCGTGAATTATGGACAATAACTTGTCAAGTTATGATTCATAACCAAACAAGTTATGAACAAAAACAATAATTTGGCCTATTTATTAACTTATGTAAACTATTAGCCTATTAATTTTAATTCATCTCAAGTCTTGACCTATTTTCCTCCTTCTCCCATATTTTTGGGCAAAACTTGAGATGCACATGAGAAGCTTAAACCTTGCCAATTTTTAAAAATACCTCTTGAAATGGAGTCTGTTTTTATTTTTACTCCTTAACATTAACTTATATATTTATACTTTTTAAAGTAGAACTAATCAAGAGAGAGACTTTGTTAAATGGGGTATTTTTAGTACGTCAGATACTTATGGAGGTATAATATCTGTAAATTTTCTCTTAAATCTTAGACGCGGCGAATTATGACATGGTGTGCACACGCGTAGTCTTCTATTTATAATGTGATACAATTTTATTTTCCCTATTAATTTGCTTTCATAAATGTCGTCCTTTCTAGATCTAGTGCAGTTAATCATTAGGAAGACCAAAACATGCCATGTTACATTGGATTCTAATTTAATTGTAGTTAATAACTAATAAGACCAAAACATTGAAACGCTATCTTGGATTATTTAACCGTGTATTTCATAATAAAACATTGTTGATACTCCAATCATGAAGGTTCAATGCCACACTGATGCTCGAGACCCTGCGAGGGAAGCGGATGATGTACGTAGGAGATTCTCTGAATCGGGGTCAATACGTCTCCATGATTTGTCTTCTTCACTCACTCATTCCTGAAGATGAAAAATCCATGGAAACCTTTGGTTCATTGACCGTTTTCACTGCCAAGGTGCCTAATTTAATTTCTTTAATTGAAATAAGTTTTTTTTTTTTTTTGAAGTGTCCATATTTTGCATATTTGTTTTCCTAACCTTTTTTTTTTTTTTTTTTTTCTTATCTTCCATGTGTAGAAATACAATGCCACGATTGAGTTCTATTGGGCACCATTTCTTCTTGAATCAAATTCAGACGATGCAATTATCCATAGAGTATCTGATAGGATTGTCAGAAAGGGGTCCATCAATAAGCATGGCAAACATTGGAAGGGCGTCGACATAATCGTGTTTAACACTTACTTGTGGTGGATGACCGGATTGAAGATGAAGATCTTGTAAATTTCCTGCTCCCGAGGATTTAAATTATTAAGTAATATCTTATTACAGCTAGCTCTAGCTTAAGAAATGTGAGTATTATTAATAGCTGCTTCTTATGTATTTTCAGGCTTGGATCTTTCGATGATGAAGTGAAGGATATCATGGAGCTATCCACAGAGGACGCTTATCGTATGGCGATGAAGAGCATGTTGCGATGGGTGCGGATCAATATGGACCCTAAAAAGACAAGGGTCTTCTTCACTAGCATGTCACCTACTCATGCAAAGTAAGATTTTGATTCTAGCTAGCCTGCACAATTTGCTCATGGGTAATACTAAATAAATTATAAGGAAGAAATTTGAATGATCAGGAAGATCGAACAAGAAAAAACAGCATTTGTATTCAATTCGGTTAAAGTGGACAATAAAGATAGCAGACAAACAAATTGAAAAGAAAACTTTAGCTGGCAAATAGGAAGAGATCGAAGTCATAATGGTTGGTCCAAATTTGGGCATTGGCGGGTTTCTGACCTTATTAGTAACTAAGAAGAGAGAGTAGCTAGTATTATTTTTCAAAAGGAGAAAATTTTTACTCCTACTCATGCTTTAGGGACATCCGATAAAATTGGAACGATATAGAGAGTATTAGCATAGCCTCTCTTGTCATTATAAAATTTTAAATATCTCTTTAGTATTCCCTAATTTGTCATTTGTCAACAAAATTGGATACTCCTGAGAGTTTAGTTACTAGTACTATTGCTACTTAGCATACAATTCTCAATTCCCAAGTTGCAGAAATTAATTTGTTTCTTCGGAACTAAAACTTGGAAGTATATTTTGGCAGGAGCATAGATTGGGGTGGTGTACCAGGCCGCAACTGCTTCAATGAAACAACCATGATAGAAGATCCAACTTACTGGGGTTCAGATAGTAGGAAAAGCATAATGCAGGTGATTGGAGAAGTCTTTAGTAACTCAAAAGTGCCCATCACATTCCTCAACATCACCCAACTCTCAAGTTATCGCAAAGATGCGCACACGTCGATCTACAAGAAGCAATGGAACCCATTGACCCCCGAGCAGTTAGCAAATCCCGTTAGCTATGCTGATTGTGTGCATTGGTGTTTGCCTGGCCTTCAAGATACTTGGAATGAGCTGCTTTTTGCCAAACTCTTTTACCCTTGAAGAATGTAGTCATGATCAGTGGTAAACAATTGTTTCCTTTGTCAGATATCGCCGCGCGATCCGATCGAGCGCACGTGATTGTGAGCGGGATTTAGGATAAATTTTTCCATTCAATTGTAGCAATATTGATGTATGGGGAGTTTTTGGTTTTTGGGAGAGGGGCAAGGGAAGGTGAACGAATGACAACAGGGGTCATGATCATTGTAAAATCTCGCACATGAAAGGAAAAATACAAGAAAATTGATTGATTTTTTTGTTTTTGAAATTGGTGCAACTTTAAAGTGAAGAATTTCATTGGACTCGAAAAAAAAAAAAAAAAAAAAAAAGGGCCCTTGCAATCTTGCCACGGTTTCACTGTTGTTGCCTTTTAAATCAATTTTGTCTTTTTATGGACAATTGGTAGATATATATTACATACACCAAACATAAGGATTGAAATGACAAGTACCGAAACCATCACCCCTTAATATTCCACCCTTAAGCGCCCTTCAAATTAGGGATGGAGATGTAATTCTCAACGCATCGCGCGCAATTCGCAATTATTTAATGAGATGTTACAGATCGAAAGAGTCTTAAATCATTGAGACATAGCTAGCACTGCTAAAAGAGTGTATAGAATAACACAAGTACAGAGCAATTCAAGTACGCAAATTATAAAAGATGAAAGGAGGCAACATATACTCCATGTTAGATTCCCATTATTCATTGATATAAGACAAAGCAGCCTGTAGCACATATAATGAGCAAAAGTGCAGTTTCTATGATAAAATACGAGGGGAGAAATCAATGCAATAATGGCGTTTCAATTTTTCTCGGCCTAGCTAGCTAGCTAAGATATAGAGTAGGTGAAGACCTACATATAAGATCACGACCAAATTCAAACCATTTCATATAATCATTCAATTAGTATTGTTGTTTGGGGAAGATGATTCAGGAGATTACCAAATACGAGACTCGTATGTTGGTCTTTTATTGTCGTTTAAGATCGAGTGTTATTATTCGTTGTCGTTTATTTGTTTATTTTTCATCGTCATTGGTTTGTTCTGAATTTGATCAGTGTAGATTGTGTAGTTACTCTTTGGCTGGGATATAAAAAGACAAATTAGTCTTCATTTTAAGAGGACGTCCTTTGATATCTGAGAACCCAGATAAAGTTGAAGTGCGTCTCTCCTCTTTGCCTGCATGGCACTTTCTGCAGTCCATCTCGTAATTTGAACAGTTGTGCACTTTTATTTTCCCCTCTGAAAGATATAGTTGCTAATAAAAATTTTAATCAATAATAAATCCTCAAGGTAACTGATCAAGATTGGCTGGCTCAAAGATTAGGTCCGTTTGGTTCATTTAAATTCATTTAAATTTTTATGGGAGAAACAAAAAAGGTTTGAATCAAAATTATAAAACAAATAAAGACTATTCGTTTAATTTACTGATTCGAGTTAAGATGTAATTTTATGTGAGAGTTTCTTACTGTAACAAAAAAATTAGATGTGACTGTTTCTGAAAACTTTTTACTGTAACAAAAAAATTAGATGTGACTATTTCTGAGAACTTTTTACTGTAACAAAACTTAAATTTTAAATTCGAATAAGTGAAACATAAACAAAAATAGGTTAGTACGACATGCATGGGATTACGTACGGGTGGGGGTAAAAAAAAAAATTGAATTTTAAATTCGAATAAGTGAAACAGAAACAAAAATAGATTAGTACGACATGCATGGGATTACGTACGGGTGGGGGTAAAAAAAAAAAAAAAAAAGTCCTAGCTAGAGTATTCACTGCCTCAAAACAGAAACAAAAACGCATTTCTTCTGTTAATTAAGACCTGATCAATCTACAGCCTCAGAAAATCATTCTGTTTACACTGATCTCATCTGATGCTTTACGACCAATATTAAGCTAGCTGTTTACCATTCTGTTCGCACTGATCTTGTATATGATAATCACAGTTTCGAAGATCCGATGACGTGGAAACACAGTATAACTGCTTTTTCTTGTATTAAAGCTACACACACACACACACACGGACATATGCCGGATTAGCAAAAGGCGACAGCAAAAATTGAAAAAGCGTTAACTTTTTTTTTTTTTTTTTTTATCAGTTACTTCTTCGAAATGACAAGAATATATAATATGTATGGATCTTTAACTAGGAAACACGCAAATTCACTGTTGGAGCCTACTCGGCAGTCCGTGGAATACGTTTATAACGTCATTTTTATGCGGTTCTATAATCAATTGCTATCTACGTTATTTGTTATATCTGATTTGGCGTATATGCGGTACTTTTTGTGATCTGCTCTAACTTTACAAGTTTGCTGACACGTAGATGATGGTGTTCTTTTAAGCAGTTTCTCCATGGAGTTATCCAATGTTAAGTTTTCTTCAAGTTGCTTTATATTTAGGAGGGTCTACAAGATCACTAAAAGCCATATTTAACATGCGTTTATTTCGCTTCTTTTTTCTTTTGGTTATCTAGAAAAAGCACAATAATCTAAAGAAAAAACTGCGTACTTTAATTTACATATAAATAGCTGCTATCTAACTTAATTATTTGCATCACATGATAGACAAGTGGTGATCTGAAAAACAACTTGCATGCTTTGACTGGCGATCGAGCCATAATTTTGTCTATTTTCAAATTTAGTTTGCTAGGTTTGAATCTGCCTGACAGGTTTAACGTCACTGTAGCTTGTAGTTTTTCTTGTTCTGTGAGTCGGCATTTTACCACATATATCCAAATTGAAGCTAATATTAATCATATATATATTTATCTACCTAAATTCTAGAATTGCTACTTCCACTTTTCTTTTTTTGAGGATATATATATACACATACGTATAGTAATTATTATACCTCTAAGTATGTGCGTTTAATATTAATGCACTTACATATGTGAATTTATATATGTACTAATTATTAATGATTATGTAATAATTTTGGTCAATTAATTGGGAGTCGGTGACATAATGAATGATGATTAACTTTGGAGATCATAATTCATATATAAGCGCATGAATCTTGCGGTGATTGAATATATATACATATACATATATATATATACGTATGTATGTATGTAGGTCAAGTCAAATCAGTCATGGGCCAAAACACGACGGAATGGCTGGCTTTGATTTCATTCTCTTGTGAAACAAGGGGGACAATTAAAAGCCTGCTTGTCAACTTGCACACCAACTTGCAATGCCAATCCCTACTAACACACAATATCATTTGTAATCGTACAGAAAGAAAGAAAGAGAGAGGGAGAGAGAGAATATAAAGGCAGGCAAAAAATATTAAAAGCAACTTGCCTTTGTTTCCACAACAAGTTGAGTTATTAAAGCCAACTTGCTTGGCAGCTGTTGGATTCCCCCCCAATTGCCCCAAAAACACTATTTTATTGCCGTGTTCAAACTCTCTATAGCTAGCTAGTCTCTCCTCTTGCACGCGAAATTACGGCAAAATTCCAAGGCTACGCTTTTTCAATTCAAGATATTTGAATTCTTCTTCCTTTTCCTTTTCTTTTCCTCCTTTTTCCTTTTTATTTATTTTTCTTCCTTTATTGTACGGCGTATCCATAGTTGAATATATATTACTATTGAGATCATCATCAATTTGTATTAGCAATAAAATGATCAATTCTTTGATTCGCTAAAACAACATATATAATACATATACATATATATTGGCCCTACAAAATACTTGGGGGCAATATATACACGCAATAAATAATTATGATCATGGTATAGTTATTAGCGATTGCTTCAAAATATTAATATTGAACGTCATGCTTTTTCTTTCCTTTTTTTTTCTTTTTTTTTTTTACATTTGGGAAGCATGCATATATAGCAAATTAAGCATCAAGATAACCTATATCAATAGGTTGCAGCTAAAATTAATGTCGGTTTTGTGTGGAACACTTGACTCATCGGTGTTAAGTGCATTACAACAAATTGAGATTCTTCGTACATACTTTACAGGCCATCATCGCATTGGCATTTTATAAACGACAGAAATTACTAAAATGTTGCATTTTAATATATATAGCCCCAATTAAGAATGATTTCTTAGCATTGTATAAATGTCAGAGAGTGTACATCGGGATATATATCATGACAAGCCCCAATTACGAATGGTTTATACTTTATGGTGAAATGCAAATAGAAAAGAAAAGAAGAAGAAGACGAAGATCTTATAGCTGGTTATATCAAAATTCAATACATATTACGTATTAATTTGGGTTATGCATATTAATCCATAATATCTGACTACAAGAAATGATCACATAATTGTATCGATATATATATATATATATATATTTCCTGTCCATTAGTTATATTATTTGCCTCGCAGATATATGATGATCATCTGTACTACTACTATAATGCTATTGTCTGGCTGGCCAGTTATCTTCTTATATGTCCTCTCATGCAAAACTGGCTACGGTTGACTAAAACGCCTAGAAATAACCTATACCATATATATACACATACCGTACCAGAGATCAAATAGAAGTAGAAAAACGAGAAGATAGAGATGAAACATCAAATAATCTATAAAGAATTCATTAATGATTGATCAACTAAAACCATTTTTAATTTACACAAGAAGAAAAGTACATATATACACAAACAGAAAGGAACAAAGAACGGGCATATAAAATTAACCATAATTTGAATTAACTATGATGGTATAATGCTTAAAGGAACATTAATCTTTCATAAGGGTTTTCGATGGTAAAGTAGAACCAGTACTAAAACATATACACAGAATCATACTATATCACCTTCAACCATTGCAAACCCCGACGACGACGATCATCAAAAGAAAAGCCCCCCTATTGATCAGATCACCTAACAAAAATCTACAAATTTCCAATCATGACATCATAATCCGACGGTGTACAGCGACCAAAACAACCCAGATCATATATTGGAAACCAAAAAAGAAAGAAAGAACCGTAATATTATATATAATACGAACAAATCATAATCACAATCTCATCTCGTTTCTCGTATCATCTCATGAGAGCTTCTTGTTGTTGTTGTTATTTCTCGCCATATTCTCGGCAATCTGAGCCAGCGACTGGAGATTGCACCGTACGATGGTGTCGACGAAAACGCAGGTCTCTTCCTTAGTGTTACCGGGTGGTACGTCAACGACGTACGACTCAACGACAACTGTCCCGTTCCCGTTGCCGCCGCTGGAGTGGAGCGTGGTGACGGATCGGTAGTTGTTGAGGCGGTGGTCGCCGCCGACGACGCTGAAGCTGATGACGTGGCGCTCGTCGTCGAGGATCTCGAGGCGCTCGGTGCTGCACGCCGCCGGGAGCCCCGACACAACGTGGACCTCGCGGAGCGTGCCGACGTCACCGTCGCCGTCGATGACGTGGCAGCTCTTGAGGAAGTGCTTGTACGCCTGAGGGTTGTCGAAACGCCGGACGACGGACCAAACGGTGGCCACCGGCGCGTCGACGGCCTGGACCACGGAGGAGCAGCACTGGTTGGCGGCGACAGCGTGGGCGTGGTGGCCGGCTACTGAGTCCGGCACCGGAGGGAACGCCGGCGCAGCGGCGCGTAGGGATTGCTTGTGGCAGCCGATGGAAGCCGAGCCAGGAAAGTCGGTGGGGTTGTTTGGGTTGATTCTGTGGAGTTGTAGTGATGAAGGCATTTTTTTTTTCTTTTTGTTTTCTTTGTTTTTGTGTCTTCAGAGAATTGGAGTTTGACAAGGTTTTACGGTTGGGTTCATGGGAGAGTGATGTTTGAGTAAAATATATATTATAGGAAGAGAGAGAGAGCGAGAGAAGAAGGAGGAGGGTTGGTTTCGTCGGTTTTGGTTATTTTATATGGTTCCCACTTGGATTAGTTTTTGTTTCGGTCTTTCCTCGGAGAGAGAGAGAGAAGGAGAGGTTTTTTTAGACTTTTTTGAGAGAGAGAGAGAATGGGGTAATGATGTTTATCACAGAGCTTACGCCGGACTAGCAAGTGGATCGTCAACTTGCAAACTCCTTTGGACTTAGTTTAGTTTTATTATCCCATTCTTTAATTCAAACTACAAGTTTGCCACTTTCTTAATCTAATATTCCTTCTACTATCCTTTGTTTTTTTTTTTTTTTTTTATATTTAAATCGTCATGGAATAAAAAATGCCGATTCTGTTTTCCGTTTTGCCAATTTTTTAAATTTGCTATTATAGAAGCTGGCTAATTAAAATATTTGTATATCCACACACTTTCCAAGGAACAAATTGTATATGTGGTCTTCAGTTCTACAAATATATGTCTTTCAACAATGGCGGTCCTTGTTAATTAATTTTAATTTAATTGCATTTAAGCAGAAGAAATTAGTTTCTCAACCCGTAACAAAACATTTATGTACATAATGCAACTTCAATCATGTATATTAAACAGAATAACCTTTTTAGTAATTAGATTAGTTTTCTCAAATAGATTGTTGATTAAGTCTTCATTTGGCATTGTACACTGCAAAGTATACTTTTTTATTAATATAATAAAGTTAATTTTTCGTTTCATGATGGCATAAATATATTAATAGTAATAGATAATTGCCTTTCACCATCTGACCCCAGTTTCAGTCGCATATTATATGCAAATGGAAATTATACACATTAATTAACAATAACCATAACGGAAAATGAGAAATTACTTTCTGTTGGGTATCTGGAGTTATATATACTCATCCCATATAAAGAGTGATCGGCTGCATATATATATATATAAGGAGTATATACACGTATTTTTTATGGTTCAACCTTTTTATCTATGCTTGCATAAAAAATAAAAATAAATAAATAAATAAAACACTCTTTTTATTTATGCTCCATATTTTCACAACAATGTTACCTAGCATAGTCCCTCTAAGGCCTACAACCAAATGCGTTTGGGACAGAGAGAGCTGTCAGTCGCTTTTAGCACTTGGCTTTCCTGGAGCAATCACTTTATATGATTTTTATTTTCGTTCAGGGAAAATTATTATGACTTTTGAGATATCGGTACCGCTATAGATATTTTTCTTTAGAATATTTATAAGATGTTTATTTTTTATTTTGGTCTTTTAAATCATGATTTATAATTTTTAATAATATTTTTTTTTATAAAAAATATACATAAAATAATAATATTTTTAAATTATGATTCTAACTCTACGAAGCAAATGTCCACTTAATTTTCATTACTTTCCAAAAGAAATAAGAAAATCAAATAACTCAAATTATGTGTGTGACCATCTACATGAAGTTCAGGGGGAGAAGATCATGAGTATCTTTGCCGGGATCCCTTATATATTGCTGTGTATATATATATATATATATATATCCTAATCGTATATCAATGTCCAATATGTTTAATTTTTTGTTCAATATATTTAATAGAGATATGCATTTTTACAATTAGGTGCATTGAATTTTGACTTTTGGTAATGTTTCTGAATTACCTCCAGCGGTTCCTTAAAAAGAACACACAACAAGGAAAACTAAAAAAAAAATAATAATAATAATAATAATACTTTCTCTAGTAGTTTTTACAAAAAGAGATTACCGGCAGTTTCTTATTTTTTAGTCATTAAATTTGTATTATAATTTGTTTGTTTTATATATTTTTTAAATTTGATGTGTTTTTTATCAGATATAACGATCAAAAATTGAGATTACCGGTATGACGGACTACCGAATAAACTCAAAAAATAAGAAGTTTTTAAAAGCTACAAAGCTGGGAAATAGAGCATTCACACTTGGTAAACCTTCTAATATGTCACTAAATTTATAGGATATGGATATATATATATAACTAACGCATGAATCATAATTTTGAACCAAGCTTGTCAGGATCTAGATTTCGGAAATTAATCAGTTATATACTTTCATATATATACATATATATATATATGTGTGTGTGTGTCATGTATGTGTGAATGTCAACTCATTGAATTAATAATAAAAGATGGCACTGTGAAAATATATTGGCTATCTCTGAGAAAGATTTTGCATTTTTATGGAGAACTCCGTAAGCTAGAACGCACTATTCTTATCGTGATTCAATGCCTAATTGGAGGATTTTTTTTTTATTTTGTATCCCGATCCCTAGAAGGATATACCAATAGTTCTTGTATTTGCATATTCATATATACCAGTTTCTTAGTGGTACTCCACGTCTTTGTTAAATATTCTTGGTGGATGCTTTAAAAATCTTATATATTGCTCTAACAAATTGCAAGTTTTTACAATATATACCCTTCCTCTTGCAATCTTATCCTCCTTTTTTATTTATTTTTCTCTTTTTTATCGTGTATGAACGTATTGCTCGAAATGCTTTCGCTTTTGTCAAGTTTAGATTTTTTTGCCTTGGTTGATATAGTTGAATTCGGAAGTTTGTTCAAGACTTAATACTTAATTATAGCAGAGAAGTTATACCAGGTCAAAAGTGGAGAACTAATGAAATTTTACCGAAATAAATTATAACCTAGACTTGATAACTAATAGGGGTTTATAAAAGTGGATAAGTTGAATTTTTGCACCAAAAATAATCCACCAATTAATTCAATAAAGCAATTAACATGACAGAAAAAGAAAAAGAATACTCACCTCAAATAGATGATCAAAATATAATTAACGTGTGGTTCAGATTATGTATACATGAATATATACACGTACAAATATAATCTTTTGCGTGTGTGTGTGTGTAAACCTATATTTGCCAAGATTCAGGAATTGCATATATATTAATTCATCGGGATCATTTAGGGATGATTTGTGAGAATTGAGAAAGTTGTATATATCCTTAATGTAGAAAACAAAACGAAAAGGCACAAGAAAAAAAAAAGGATATGATTGACGAACAAAATGTTATTTTTCTTAATTTGTTTAATTCTAACCGATTATCCCAAAAATTTGACCTAAAAATTATAAAGTAATATGTGTGTGTGTGTTTGAATTTGTTTCTTTTATTTTTTGATAATTGTAGCATATATAGGCTTAGTTTTGTAGTATTGTAGATTTTAGAAAAATTATTTTTAGCTGTGCTGAAAGAAGAACCAGCTGTTACAAAAAATAGCTGAGTGTTTGGTAAATTATAATTATAGTAGTTGTGCTAGTTTCAAAATCAAGGTAATAGCGTTTAGTAAATTATGAGGTTGAATTGCCGTGAATAGTTAAAAATTACGACTATATTATAATATACTATAATATAATATTATAATTACAATATAATATATATTTATTATTATATTTAATATTATACAAAAAACTATTATTATATAATATATTATATAATTATAATATAGAATATAATAATATTATTAAAATAATAACTAAAATTATTAAAATAACGATTATATTATATTATACAATATAAAGTATATTTATTATTATATTTAATATAATACAATAAAACTATTATTAAATAACATATTATATATTATATAACTATGATATAGAATATAATAATATTATTAAAAAGGTTAATATAATTACAATATTATAAAACATATTATAATAATACAAACAAAAATATTAATATTTCAGTTATAATATAATTAAAAATTACAACTATATTATAATATAATATATAATCATTATTATATTATATTAAACAAATATATTATAATTAAAAAATTATATAATCATAACTTGTGTAATACACAATAATAGATAATAATATTAGAATTATTAAACTATATTAATTATTATATTATTATTAATATAATAAATATAATTATATTAATACAATTTAATAATATAATTATGATATTATTTGTTACAATATTACTATTATATTATATTATATTACGAGTCTGAATTTTAGATTGGAAAGATTGTAAATTTTAAATTTCATTAGGGATATTATGGGTATTATACAAGTTTCATTAATTGTACTATGTTGATTCTCATACAATCTAAAAGCTAAAATTATCTTTAAGCTGCTTTTAATTTTAGCTGTAGATTCTTAAAAAATTCTTCAAAAAATACTTTTGAGGAGATTTACCAAACATTAAAATACTTATGTTACAAGCATAAGCTGATTTTCGGCTGGAAAAATAATACCAAGCTAAGCTATGGTTGACACGTGATGTGGAAGCGGCGATAAAAGTAAGTTGATATTTTGCACTAATTAGATCTTCCAGTAATTCACTCCTCAAATAGATAACCTAACCAAAAAGTGGTTTAGACGTTTATACAAAGAATTTCTAGGATTGAATCACGTATTTATCAAGTTGTGATTGATTTCTGAGAAATGAGAAAGTTATCCTCTAGTCTCAGTTGTGTAACTGATCATTACGAATAGAAAAAAAAAAAAAAAAAAAAAAAAAAAAAGAATGATTATTGGTTTTTTCAGCTAGTGAATTCTAACCAAGAGTACCAAAGAATCAGTTTATTCAACTTTTCAATTGAAAAAATGCCAAAAAGAATTTGTAACAAAAGACCGCAGGGACAAAGCACGAAATTTTTTTCAGAGGGCTTGAGTTAAACTAAAATTTTAAACTAAATTATGTAACAAAATATAATTTTAAGTAAAAATTAAGAGGATAAATGAAATAATTTTGAATATCTTGAATAAATTTTAGAATCAGAAAATTTTAGAGGGCAAAGTAATAAATTTTATATAGGGTATAAATGAAAAAATTTAAAACAATTAATATAAAACTTAGAAATAAAAAATTTTAAAGGGACTAGACAAGAAAATATGGGGTAAAATTGTAATTTACCTCGATCCCTCAGGTCTTAGCTAGCTTTAGGGACCCTAGGAACCCATATATACCTCGATCCGTACAATTAAATTAGCTTTAACGATTGACTCTCTATAGTTTTTAATAAGTACTTGTGAAGTTTCACAGATATTAAGGGTCGTTTACTTCGTTAATTTAAATTTGTAATTTAAATTAAAATGTGATTTTATGTGAGAATTTTTTAT